TGAGGATGAAATGAGATAAATACAGACGGTGCTTTGTAGGCCATAAAATTGTTATGATGAGCAAGAGTTTCTCTGCAAGGCCTGCCTCCTTAAGCATTTGTAAGAAGAAAAGGAAACTAATTTCCCAATCAGAAAAGGTATTTTACTTCTACAAATAAAAGCTCTGGAATTCCAACCATCTGAATTGTTATAAGCTGTCATGTTTTCTGAATATTGGGTATATTTTTAAAAGAAGCTCCCACAAGACAGTTTGTAGCAGATGTCAGCCCTACAAGTTAGGACACCTGCCTCCCACATGGGGCACCTGGGTTTGATACTTGGCTCTGGCTCCTGACTAGCATCCAGGTAATGTGGACCACTGGGAGCAGCAGGTGATGGCTCAAGGAGGTGGATTCCTGCCACCCACATGGGAACCTGGACTGAGTTCCCAGCTTCCGGCTTCAGACTTGCCCAGTGCTAGTTGTTCAAGTATTTGGGAAGTGAACAAACACATGAGAATTCTCTCTCTCTCTCTCTCTCTCTCTCACTCTGCCTGTCTCTGTGCCTATCTGTCTCTCTGTCTCTATCTCTCTGTATGTCTATTTCTCTCTGCCTCTCAAACTGAAGAAGAAAATAGTTTGACAAAGCTCTCATTTTTGCACCTAACAAAAAACTCGGCATCTCATGAGATGTGCTTGCTTCATTTGCTGCAAATAACTTCCCTCATAGAGTGCCTGTGGATGTAGACACGGTTTTTCTAAATCAAAATCTAATCTTCACTCCCATCTTACCTGGTAAGCTAAGTAGCGGGTATTAGGGCTATAAAAGAAGCATTTATTGTGCAAATTCTATCTCACCTCTCAGGTTATGGGAACAGATTATCAACTCTAATCCCAGAAGAAGCGCTTTTTCAATCTTATTGTTCACTAAAACTTGGAAATGAGGAAATAGAAAAACTTTTTTTTTTTTTTTTTTTTTTTTTTTGGACAGGCAGAGAGGACAGTGAGAGAAAGAGAGACAGAGAGAAAGGTCTTCCTTTGCCGTTGGTTCACCCTCCAATGGCCGCCGCGGCCAGCGCACCGCGCTGATCCGATGGTAGGAGCCAGGTGCTTCTCCTGGTCTCCCATGGGGTGCAGGGCCCAAGCACTTGCACTCCCTGGCCACAGCAGAGAGCTGGCCTGGAAGAGGGGCAACCGGGACAGAATCCGGCGCCCCTACCGGGACTAGAACCCGGTGTGCCGGCGCCGCAAGGCGGAGGATTAGCCTAGTGAGCCGCAGTGCCGGCCAAAAACCTTATTTTAAAAGAAAAGGTTGAAATATTAAAATAAGTATCTATACATTTATATATTTATAAACATACATATGCTGTGTATCAAGTTGCTTGTCAATGCATACAAGCCCATACACTTACTTAAATGGGAAGAAACACTGGAGAGAGTACACAGGAATCTATTATTAAACTGTCAGCCCACATTTTTGCTATGGTGTCTTTATTTTCTTCCCTTCATATTTTTTTTAAGCTGTCAATAGAGGACAGGGAGACCTGGCATCCCTGGTTCACTCTCCAAATGCCATGATGTCCAGGACTGGATGGGACAGAAGCTGGGAGCCCAGAATGCAATCCAAGTCTCCCATGTGGGTAGCACGAACCAAATTACTTGAGTCATCACTGCTGCCTCTCAGGGTCTGAATTAGCAGCAAGCTGGTATCAGCATCTGGAGACACATATTGAACCCAGGTATCATGCCCTGGAACATAATCATGGGCATCTTAAATTAGGCCAAATGCCTGCTCCTGCTGTATCTTACGTCCCTATCATTCATTGAACACTAATTTGCGTCCTGCTATAACAAAGTTGTTCCAGGTTCAACTAACTGTTTCTGCCCCAGCTTTGAAATCAAGCATTTCTTCAAGGAGTCCTGATTCAGTTGAGTGCAGGATGGTGTTTAGTGACCAACTTCTAGATACTAGAAGTGCTCATTGCTACTAGAGTATCATTACAGTTGAAGCCCTTTCAGTAGACAGGAATTAAATCTATCTGCATAACTGTATATTTCTGATCCTGTATGAATATCTATATTTAAATCATGGGTTTGAAGTGATATCTCCAACTGAAGTTCATTCTAGGCTTCCTCTTTTTATTTTATTTTTAAAAGATTTATTTATTTGGAAGGCAGAGTTTCAGAGAGAAAGAGAGAGACAGAGAGAAAGAGATCTTCCATGGGGCCAGCGGTTTGGCGTAGCAGGTAAAGCCCCAGCCTGCAGTGCAGCATCCCATAAGGGCACTGAGTTTGAGTCCCAGGTGCTCCACTTCCAGTCCAGCTCTCTGCTATGACCTGGGAAAGCAGTAGAAGATGGCCAAGTCCTTGGGCCCCTGCACCCGTGTGGGAGACCCAGAAGAAGCTCCTGGCTTCCGGTCGGTACAGCTCCAGCCATTGCAACCATCTAGGAATCAGCGGATGGAAGACTTCTCTCTCTGCCTCTGTCTCTCTTTAACTCTGCCTTCAAATAAATAAATAAAAATTAAAAAAAAAAAAAGAAGAAGGAAGGAAGAGCTCTTCCATCTGATTGTTCACTTCCCAAAGGGCCACAACAGCTGAGGCCGGGCCAGGTTGAAGCCAGGAAACTAGAACTCCATCTGGGTCTCATACTTGAGTGGCAGGGGCCCAAGCACTCAGGTTATCCTCTTCTGCTTTCCCAGGCTCATTTGCAGGGAACTGGATCAGAAATGGAGCAGCTGGGACACAAACTGGCGCACCTGTGGGATTCCAGCATTGCAGGCAGCACTGTAACTCCCTGCTCCACAACACCAGCCATGACCTCCTTCTTTTCGTATTGGGGTTCCCTTCTCTTACTGTGCTCCCACTAACCTAAATATATTTATCTATTTATTTTTTACTGACCCAACAGAAAGCAGTTTATTCAAAATACAATATTGGTTTTAATTATGCATGCTAATATTTTTATATAATGTATACTTTTATATATTTTTTAAACTTCTGTATCTAACTTCATTTTAATAGAAAACTTTTATTTAATAAATATAAATTTCCAAAGTACAACTTTTGGATTATAGAGGTTCTTCCCCCCCATAACTACCCTCCCACCCGCAAACCATCCCACCTCCTACTCCCTCTCCCATCCCATTCTTCATTAAGATTTATTTTTAATTATCTTTATATACAGAAGATCAACTTGATACTGAGTAAAGATTTCAACAGTATGCACCCACACAGAAACATAAGGTAAAAAGTACTGTTTGAAGACTATTTTTACCATTAATTCACATAGTACAACACATTAAGGACAGAGATCCTACATGGGGAGTAAGTGCACAGTGACTCCCATTGTTGATTTAACATTTGACACTCTTGTTTATGACATCAATAATCACCCGAGTCTCTTGTCATGAGCTGCCAAGGCTTTGGAAGCCTCTTGAGTTCACCAACTCTGATCATATTTAGACAAGGTCATAGTCAAAGTGGAAGTTCTCTCCTCCCTTCAGAGGAAGGTACCTCCTTCTTTGATGGCCCCTTCTTTCCATAATGTAAATATATTTAATGATCACTTAATCTGTAATACACAAAAACTGGTTTCAGAATTTCCGGTCCATATCTCTGTGAGATACAAGACTGATAATATGAGTTAAATATTGTTTAGGGGTCTTTGTGTCAGAGAGTATACAGTCAAAATACTGTGTTCAGACATCATCTGGAATGAAAATGTATGTTTACAAAAAACTTATACATAGGGTTTACAGCAGCATTAATAATAACCAATAAATACATACAACCCAAACATTCATCTACTGATGAATGAGGAAACAGAATGTAAGTATACAATGGATTTTTTATTCCTATAAAAAAGAACTAATAAAACACATGCCATAAAACATATGAGTCTCAAAACCATTATGCTAAATTGAAGCCTGTCACAAAAGATCACATATTTTATTATTCCATTTATCTGAAATGTTCTGAACAGGTGAATCTCCAGACACAGACAATAGAGTAGTGGTTGCCTAGGGGCTGAGTGCTAATGGGTACACCATCTTGTGTTACAGAATGATGAAGAACGTTTATAATAGGTTGTGCCAACAGCACCCAGCTCTGTGAATATACCAAAATTATTGAATTCCATACCTGAGGTAAATTTTATAATTAATTTATTTTATAAAAAGGCACTTGAAAAAAGCTAATGGGTTTTTTTTTTTTCCTTCAGACCAGGGTGCTTAGTATTCATTTGGGAAACATTTAGGCATTTTTGTGGTTTTACATTTTTAGATTTTCCCCCAGTTTGTCATTTTATGTAGAGTATTATTTTATGTTAAATTTTTACATGGTTCCAGAACTTGAAACTATATAAATAGTACATTAAAATTGCATCACTCAAAAATTAATTCATTAATTAAATTTTAAAAGGACAGAAACAACATTTGAAGGGACACAAACAAGGGCTGTCCACCAGGAGAGAGTCCAAGCCTTATCACATTTTGTCATATGTACCCTTCTGGTTATCTCAAAATTACTTTGTCATTTCCCATGTTCATCCTCTTCTCTCAGTCCCTCTTTTATTTTGTGTATCTTCAATTACTCCCCCGCCCCTTGTGTTCATCCGGCAAACTGTTATCTTCAATTTAGATCTGCCTCAATTGGAAATATCGGATGGAGTTCTGAATCCATCCTTTCCAGGAAATTCTTGCAGAAGCCAATGGAATAGCAGTTCTAACAGTTCCCATTAGATGCTATTTAGAGGCTTCTCTTCAAAAGAAACCTAATTTCAAAACTGGTACACATGTAGCATCTTTCCAGGAAACAGAAGCCTTTCAACTTCTATTCAACAAATCAGGTAACATGAATAAAGAATAATTTCTTTAAAAAAAATGCATCACTCCACTCTCCTCCCTTAAATCAAAGAGGACAAATCCCACTAGATTCTGACTTATGCTTCCTAAGTTTCTTGTTGCAAAAAATAAAGATACCTATGTATGCTCTTATTTACCCTTCCTTTCTAAAACGTAATATATCCTGGAAATCACTTCATAGAGATCTTCCTCGGACCATGTTACAGCTACACTGTCCTCCACTCTATGGCTGTCACCATAGCTTATTTAGCATTGTCATATATGACAGTGTGTGGGTTGGAAACCTTACACTGCTATATATTCTGCTTTCATATTCTGGAGGTATATCTTCAGGGTAGAGTCCTAGGAGAGGGACTATTGGATCCACGGTAAATTCAGGCGTTTAGATTTTGTTAGATAGTGCCACATTTCTCCAGTCTGCACACGATGTGCTGTCAGACTTTCTCGATGAATCTGATAACATTTTATATGCAGACTGGGGAAACAGGGCAGGATTGGAATATACTCCCAGAATCAGAAAAGGATTCAGAGTCAAGGGATCATACAGGGAAGGCTCCAGGAATAGAAACCACTCTTCCAGCACAGGAGGGAAGTCACAGACAAATGGGACTATCCTATAAAACACAGCCTGAGTGTCCTTTGAAACCTAGAGTGCACAGACAGCATGTTGTCCCTTTGTCTCTCTCATTCCGATCTTCCAACAGCAAGCCTGCCATTCCCCACTGTTCTCACCATGGCTCTGTGGGACCACGTTGGTGTCTCACTGAGGGTCCCATTACCTTGCATGTATTTGCTTTCCTTACTTTCCCAGTGTTGCTGATGTGGTAGGCAGAATAATCCCTGCTCATCCCCACCCCCAGAGATAGCCACATCTGAGTTCCCTGGGCCTGGCCAGCACCACCTTAGTCCACGTGATCACGGCAGGGCTGTGCTGGGGCTGCCCCATGCAACACGGGAGGTTTGTGTTCAGGGAAGACACACATTAGCTTGAAGCTGCAGCAATTGGCAAATGCTACCAGTCAGGACTTCTCCTTGCCTGCAGGGTCAGATATTTTTGAATTAAGACCTATCAGCAAGCAAGACGACTTTTTGTGCCTCCTGGGGGTACACACCAAGAAGCGCACATCCCTTTTGTGGTCTGCTCCCTAAAATACACAATGGCCATCTAGTGAGAAAGCAGGGGGAAAAAACTAAATTGAAAGCCATCCTGCAAAATTCCTGGTTTGCACGGAGAGAAAAAGCAGGGTCACGAAACACAAAAACCAATGTGACATTTCAGATTCAAGGAGGCTAACGAGACCCAACCACTAAAGGCACTATGTGATCCAGACTGGATTCTAGACCAGGGGCAATAGATACATGCGATACATACATTGATAAATATCATACATATATGTAGCTGCATGTATACATATATATATATATATTGCTGAGGACATTGTTGGGAAAACTGATGAACTGGGAATAAAATCTTCAATTTGAGTGGCAGCATGGCATCAGTTAATTTCCTAATTTTGATCATTTGACTATGGGTCTATAAGAGAATGCCCCATATAGAGATAGTGGCATACCAGGAAAGAAGGAGGGAGGGAGAGAGGAGGCAAGGAAAAACAACTAACAAGGGGGAATCTGGGTGCCGGATATGTTTTTCTTCTCACTACCGTCAATGCTTTGCTTTGGGTTGAGACAAAGTTCTCTACCAGTGTTTTGGGTAACTTTCTGCAAGTCTGAAATTAATTAGAAATTAAGTCTGACGGAAAGAAAAACACGAACACAGCCTTCCCCGACCTCTTCCCGAGACCTATGTCGTCGCAAACCAGAGCGAGGCCGTGGGCAGGAACTTCTCAGGGGAGCTGCAGAACCAACACCGGGGCGGGGTCCCACACGCATGCGCAGGAGCCACGAGGCCCCAATACTACCGCGCCTCCCCGCGCCAGGCTGCCCCCCTCGGATTGGCTGTGGGCGCGGTGACGCAATAGCCTTGTCCATAGGAGGTTCATTCATACATACAGAAGTATACCGAGATGGCTGCACACCCGTAAGGAGGGATCGATGGACGGGGAAGAGAGGGGAGGGAAAGAGAGGGGAGGGGAGGGGAGCGGAGGGGAGGGGAGGAAGGAAGGGAAGGAGAGGAGGGGAGGGGAAGGGAGGAGAGGGGAAGGGAGGAGAGGGGAGGGGGAGGGGAAGGGAAGGAGAGGAGAAGGGGAGGGGAAGGGAAGGAGAGGAAGGGAGAGGAAGGGAGGAGAGGAGAAGGGGAGGGGAAGGGGAGGGAGAGGAAGGGGAGAGAAGGAGAGGGGAGGGAAGGAGAGGGGAGGGGAGGGGAGGGGAGGGAAAAAAATTAAACTGGGATCTGTGTGCCAGATTTTTTTTCTTACGACCTTCAATATTTGTTTCGGTCTTAGACATGAAGTTCCTCGTACTGTTTTGGGTAATTTTCTCTCAGTCTGAAATTAAAAATACAACAAGTGACCACCACCTGTCCTCGACTGCCATCCCGAGGTCCACGTGGCTGCAGAGCGGAGGGAGGCTGCACGCAGGAACTTCCCAGGCGGCGAGGTCGAGGTCGGCGCCAACGCCATGGTAGCGTCGGGGACACTCACCTCAGGAACCCTGAGCTGCTCAGCGCGGGAAGCGGGCGCGAGCTCTCTGCGCCTGCCACAGCGCCTGCCCCTTGGTTACTTTCTAAATGCTGCCGTGCAGGCCTGGAGTCTGTGGCCCACTACTGCTACTGGTGAGTTTCAAGCTGGGTCAGTTGGAACCTTGGCCGGTACCAGTTGGCCACTCCCCCTAAGGGACGTGTTTCTGGGCTTTTCTATCGCCTTAGATGGAAATTGCACAGCAACGTGTCCTGCCCTTGGACCATCTGTTCTGGCCTACAAGGATGAGAACGCCAGGAGAGGGCAGCATGTGTTGGGGTACTGCAATGGTGTTGTGCTGTTGACACCTACCGGGGTACTCAGATAAAGACACTGCATTTGAATTTTGAATCAAAAATAGTGGGTTGCCTGGATAATTCACTGCTGCTAAACGCGCTTTGTTTATGGTTTCTCTTAGAATCTTCATCCTGGATAGACAAGGAAGATTATATCCATTGTCCAGCCTGGCCCCAGACACACTGTGTATCTGAATGACTTTAAAATGCCCTGCACAATTCTGCAACAATTGATCGTTCTCCCATTACCTGTAGGTCTGGAAGTATTTTAGCCTGTGGTTCGATTGCCATCATTTTTTAAAATGACACTTTGTAAATTAAATTCTGTGTTCTTAATGTCCTAAGGACCTCTCAGCAGTGAAAGAGTAAGAACATTCTGGTATGTGTCAATATTTACTCTGTATTCGTAGACTCTGATTATCATTTCCTTTCCTGCATATTTTTTTCTTATATCTCCCTACCAAAGGGAAGAAAAACCCTGTCATGAAAAACATGAAGGAAAGACTGTTGTTTATCTCAATGGGACAGACAGGCACACCTACCAAGCAAAGACAAAAGAGCACAAAATCAGCAGCATATTGGGAGAGTGTGAATTGATCCTTTTTAATGAGTCACAGCAATGATATGGATCTAGTTTTACTTGAGATGATTGTCCTCAGGTATCCAGTGGTCAGCAGATGAGGATGAAAGCCAATTATCCTAACTGATCAGAAAATGCAGAAACTCCCTCTTTGTCTCTGTAGGTAAGTACATATAAGCCTGGACTGGACACAGAAATGGTAATACCACAATAGGATTCAAATGTGTCCTCTCATTGACTTTTTCAGATAATTGTAGCTAATTTCCACTAAGCAGGAGATGATCTTGAGAGTAGTTCCTAGTACATGGGAAGTCCCTGACAAACATTAGCTGTTATTATTGGAAGCATCAAGCTTTGGTCCGTTTTATCCATTTCACTGGAGGTGTCTCTGAAATCATCAGCTCCCAGCCAACCCAGTGGAACTGACTGCACGGCCTTCAGCATGTCCGTGACGACAGGATGCGCAGTGGCGGCAGCAGGTGTTACCCGGAAATCTGTTAAGGACTCTCACACAGATGTCTCTGTCCTGTAAGGAACCCCAACCATTAAGCACGTCTGTTTGCTGTTTACAGATTTCTCTCTCTCTCTCTTCCATTACAAATGAACATTTCTGCTTCTAATCTCCTGTGGCATCAGAAGCCAGATACCCAGGCTTGACAAGCGCGAGGCACCCAGGGTAAAGCTCTGGGTGCAGCCCTCTGCTACCTGGACACCTGGGAACAGGAACTTGTTGTGCTCATTCTGACTGCCCAGTGACCCTCCTGGCTGGCCTCGTGACATGTTCCAGATGTTGAGGTGGTTTGCTAGGTAAGCTCTGGATGAAAGAACTGGCACTGGAATTAGATCTGGAATCTCAGCCTCCTAATTCTCTCCGCACCCATACTTGGTATGTTGACATTTTCAAGGAGTACTACATGCTTGTGGACTTAAAGGGGCAGCACACACAAAGTCTAAGCACTAATGTTACATTTTAAAACTTGAGCTGCTTCTTTCTTGAGACGCTTAAGCTGGCCTGAGCATTACTGTTATATACTGCAGCCATGCTTCCTTCCATGTGTTTTCTCAGTAAACTATTAAAAATATTTAGGTCAGCCTTACATAAGTTTGTGAATATAATTCAAAAAAAAAATCTTCCAAACAGGTCTAAGTCATGTTTCCCTTAAGTGTCAACTTCCTAAGTGTCGTGGCACATCAACAATGATCAAGAGTGTACCTCCGTGGCGGCACAGTGGGTGAAGATGTCACTGGGATACTCACAGAGTGCAGGCTGTAGTCCGAGGTATTCAGCTCTGATACAGTTCCCTGCTAATGCATCCTAAGAGCCGACAGACGATGGCTGAAGTGCTTGGTCCTTTACCACCTACCTGGGAGATCCAGAGGGAGTTCTGAGCTTCTGACTTTGGCCTGATGCAGACCTGGTTGTTCTACCTATTTGGGGAGTGAACCAGTCGATGAAAGATCTCCTTCCCCTATCTCTGTCTCTCTGCCTCTCTCTCTCTCTCTCTCTCTCTCTCTCTCTTTCCCTGTCTGTGTCTGTCTATCTGTCTAGAAACTCCCTCTTTGTCTCTGTAGGTAAGTACATATAAGCCTTTCAAGTTGATTAAATTAGTTTTTTTTTAAGATTTACTTATTTAAGAGAATTAACAAAGAGAGAGAAGGAGGCAGAGAGAGAGAGAGAGAGAGAGAGAGAGAGAGAGGTCTTCCATCTGCTGGTTCACTCCCCAAATGGCTGCAATGGGCAGAGCTGGGCCGATCCAAAGCCAGGAGCCAGGAGCTTCTTCCGGGTCTCCCATGTGGGCACAGGGGCCCAAGCACTTGGGCCATCTTCTACTGCTATCCCAGGTCATTGCAGAGAGTTGGATCGGAATTGGAGCAGTCGGGACTTGAAGCAACGCCCATATGGGATGCCGGCACTGCAGGCTTTACTCACTATGCCACAGCGCCTGCCCCGATGAACATAAATTGAAAACATATTTTAGGGAGCAGTATTGTGGCACAGCAGATTAAGCCACCACTTGAAATACTGGCATCCTTTATCACAGTGCTGTTCAAGTCCTGTCTGCTCAGCTTCTGATTCAGCTCCCTGCTAATGCACCCAGGAAGGCAGCAGATATTAGCCCAAGTGCTTGGGCCATTGCCACCCATGTGAGATACCAGGGTGACATTCCTGGCTTCAGTCTGGCTCAGCCCTGTCTATTGCAGCCATTTGGGGAGTGAACTAGCAGATGTAAGATCTCCATCCTGTCTCCCACTCTCATCATCGTTTTCAAATAAATAGAAAAACCAAGATCCAGGGACTCCACCCTGATTTCCCACATGGTTGGCAGGGGCCTAAGTACTTGAGCCATCTTCTGCTGCCTTCTCAGGCCCATTAACAGGGGGCTAGACAGGAAGCAGAGCAGCCAAGACTTGAACCAACGGTCCAATATGGGGATGCCAGCGTTGCAAGTTGTGGCTTAACCTGCTATACCACAATGCCAGCCCCTCCATTAAAAAAAAAACTTTTTTTTGAAAAAAGGACAAGCTTTTAGGAACAGGCATTGGGCACAGCAGTTAAAACACTGCTTGCAGGGCTGGCACTGTGACGCAGCAGGCTAAGCCGCTGCCTACAGTGCCGGCATCCCATATGGGCACTGGTTCAAGTCCCGACTGCTCCACTTCCGGTCCAGCTGTCTGCTGTGGTTTGGGAAAGTAGAAGATGACCCAAGTCCTTGGGCCCCTGCATCCACATGGGAGGCCTGGAAGAAGCTCCTGGCTTCGGATTGGCACAGCTCTGGCTGTTGCCGCCAATTGGGGAGGGAACCAGCGGATGGAAGACCTCTCTCTCTCTCTGCTTCTCCTTCTCTGTGTAATTCTGACTTTCAAATAAATAAATAAAAAATTTTTTTATTTTTTTGACAGGCAGAGTGGACAGTGAGAGAGAGAGAGACGGAGAGAAAGGTCTTCCTTTGCCATTGGTTCACCCTCCAATGGCCGCCGCGGCCGGCACGCTGCGGCCGGCGCACCGCGCTGATCCGATGGCAGGAGCCAGGTGCTTCTCCTGGTCTCCCATGGGGTGCAGGGCCTAAGCACTTGGGCCATCCTCCACTGCCTTCCCGGGCCACAGCAGAGAGCTGGCCTGGAAGAGGGGCAACCGGGACAGAATCCGGCGCCCCGACTGGGACTAGAACCCAGTGTGCCGGCCCCGCAAGGTGGAGGATTAGCCTAGTGAGCTGCGGCAAAAAGATTTACTAAAAAAAAAAAAAAAAAAGACACTGCTTGGGACACCTGCATGCCACATCCAAGACCTGGGTTTGAATCCCGACTCTGGTTCTTTTTCCCGTTTCCTGCTAATGCACGCCCTGAAAGGTGGCAGGTGATGGCTGAATATTTGGTTCCCTGACACCCATGTGGGAGACCTAAATCGAGTTCTGGGCTCCTGCCCTCAACCTGGCCCACCCCAGGCTGTTGCAGGCATTTGAGGAATGAACCAGCAGATGGAAGATTTCTGTCTCTCTCTGTTTCTGTTCCAGACTGTCTACTTCAAATAAATAAATGAAAATTTGAAAAAGAACCAAATTTACTTTAAAATAATATTCTGTTTAGAAGTTTCATACTGGTAATTACACTCATATAAATGGAAGAAAATAATATAACAGTGATTTATGTATCTTCCTTAGCCTTTTTAACAAGAAAAGCAATTAAAGGACCTGATGCTACTTAAATAGATCACAATAACACAGAGATTAATCACTGTGCCTGTTGTATATTAAATCATTTTCCCAGAGCCATTTAGGATGATTGAAGTAGAAAGATAAAAGGGTTTCCAGTGCAATTCAATTATATGCAAATGACAAAGAAGTTAGATGGAGCACAGTAAATATTCTGACTTTTATCTCTATTGGAAACAAAACTTAAGTAGAACAAAACCTTGAATTGATCAAGGGAAAACAGCTACATTTATACTAGAGAATAAGTAATGACAAAATCTGGACATATATCATGGAACAGTTTGTTTATTCATTGTGGTTTTAATCCTCATACAGGTTAGAGTGTTCTGTGCAGGTAATTTACCAAACATTTTATATTAAGTAGTTTCCATCATTATAAATATGATCCATTTATATGGTTCAAAACTATCATCACTGTTAAATACATCATCATGTATTTAAAATCTGATGGTTTATGTGCTTTGTCCTTTTACACATAACATTCATGTTTACATTTGTGTGTGTTAATACTTCCTATTATAACATTTTACAGAGAGGCAGTTTTTGTTCTGTTTACACCTTTTGGGTTGTTCAGCTTTTCCTCATAAACAGTGCAGCACCAAATGCAGCTGAGGCCCTTCACAGTGGTTTGCCATTCAGGTACTCAGGCAGGCAATGGTGTCCCACTAAGAATTACAAACTTCAAGCATTTAAACCTAACAACCCTTAAAAGAGGAAGGTGTCTGGAGCAGTGGTTAAGATACCGCAAAGGATGCCTGCAGTCTGCCTCCCATCCCAGCTTCCTGCTACTGTGTCCCCTGGAAGACAGCAAGTGACGGCTCAAAGTACTTGGGTCTCTCCCCAACACAGGAGATACCCGGACTGTGTTCTAAGCTTCAGGCTTCAGCCTGGCACAGCCCCACCTGCTGCAGGCATTTGGGGAGTGAAGGAACAGAAAAATCTCTCTCTGCCTTTCAAATGAAAAGATAAAAAAAAAGTTTTTAAGACAAAATATTTAAAACAAATTAAGAGTATGCTAATTCCTACATGTTTGAAGAGATGTGAGTATGGAAAATTTATGGGTCTAGTGTGACATAAAGGTTTATTAGTGGGAAGCAAATTAAATAAATAAAGTTTGCGGCCGGTGCTGCGGCTCACTAGGCTAATCCTCTGCCTGCAGCACCGGCACACTGGGTTCTAGTTCCGGTTGGGGCGCCGGATTCTGTCCCGGTTGCCCCTCTTCCAGGCCAGCTCTCTGCTGTGGCCAGGGAGTTCAGTGGAGGATGGCCCAAGTGCTTGGGACCTGCACCCGCATGGAGACCAGGAGAAACACCTGGCTCCTGGCTTCAGATCAGCGCTCACAGCCCACCGGCCGCAGAGGCCATTGTGGGGTGAACCAATGGAAAAAAGGAAGACCTTTCTCTCTGTCTCTCTCTCTGTCCACTCTGCCTGTCAAAATAAATAAATAAAGTTTGCATGGGATATATGGCTACTAAAGCATTTGGATTGGTCTTTTTAAAGGTTTTTTTTAGTGGTGTCTTTGATAAAGCTATTGCGTCTACAGCCATATCACCCTGAATGCACCTGATCTTGTCTGATAAAGCTATTGCTATAGCATTAGTAATTCTCTAGGGCCTGGGTAGAGACCGGAAGTACTAGGCAGGGCAGCAGAATCCTTACTCTATTTTATGTGATATGCACTCTAAATCTTACACTATGGTGAGGGAGTAATTTTTTTTTTTAATTTCTTTATTTATTGGGGAGTGAAGTGAAAGAATTAGAGAGAGAGAGAGAGAGAAACTTCCATCTGCTCATTCACTCCCCATAGTGGCCACAACGGCCAGTGCCAGGCCAAGCTGAAGCCAAGAGCCAGTAGCTTCATCTGGGTCTCCCACATGGGTGCAGGGGCACAAGCACTTGGGCCAATTTCTACTGCTTTCCCAAGCGCATTAGCAGGGAGCTGGATCAGAAGTGGAGCAGCTGAGACTTGAACTGGTGCCCATGTGAGATGCCCGTGCTACGGAAGTCTGTAAAGTCTGTTCCAGGACACAGGAAATCAGCAGATAGATATGGTGCAGCTGATACTGACCCCAGATTCTTTGGCTCAGTTGCAAATAGATTTGGCAATAGGTCAAGGTGCTACCCAGACAGGGTTTACTGGGGGCTATGCTTGAACACAAGGGAGACAGACTGGCTCCCCAGTGGGACCTAAACAGGTGCATTTATTAGGTTGGGGAGGTGTGGTGGTTCTCTTTTGGGGCCTGGGTCACACTTCTGGCTTGTCTTGCTTGGCACATGACACTGGGGTTTGCAAATGGCTCTATGTTCTGCCCAGGTGCTGTTGTTTATTTCGCAAACGACACTTCAAAATGGCAGTGTTGCTCACTACTGCCACTCCAGGCAGGTCAAACGTCAGTCACATTGGGCTGTCCTGGGCACACACGCAGGTTGGGCAAGTCCCTAAAAGAGCAGTAGGAGGTCATTTGCAGTTAGGGTCCGGACTGTCCTTGCTCCTGAACTGGAGCTGGATCCATAGTCAGGTCACGTGGGGCTGGTTTCAGTGAGCTCTGTTCAGTCGTTTCTCCTAGGAGTGCATACCCATGACCCTAATGCAGTCAGATGTCTTTTGTTAGCAGACGCAGGAGTCCAGTCACTGGGGTGCCACCACTAATCAGCCTCAAGCAGGAGTCTCTCAGACAAAAGCTTTATTGTGACAAGGAGGCAGTGGGTTCAGTTCCCTAAAGAAACTACCTCCCTGGAAATCAGTTGACTGGGGCATTGATAGAAAGGGTTAGGGGCGTGTCCAGGATGCAGAGAACAGAGAGTAGGAGGCCCTTGCTGCTCAGCAACATACATCTCCATATATTTTATGTCCTAAATCCATGGCTCAGCACCGGTT